AAAATGGTTGAATGTGTACTCACTAGACATTCTAACGAATGTCGTTCGCCCCGCAAGACGGGGAGGGGACACATTCAACCCTTTTGGACCACGCCCGCCCTGCCCCTGAAACCGCTTCGATCCTTGGCGTCTGCGCGATTTCAGGGGCAGGAGATGCGTCGGCTGTGCGGCTGACTTTGCGTCGGCTTTGGGGCACCATCGCCGAACGTCCGATTCCAAAGGTGCCGCTTTTCCGACCAAACCCTAGGGCTTGGTTTCCAGCTTTTCGATCCGCTCATCGAGCGTGTGCGAGTGAGCTGCGAGGAGCGTGATGATGTGGGTCAGCCCGTCGATCCGGGTGCCCACATCATCGAAGCCCTTGCGCATCTCGGCCCGCATCTCCTGGAGCAGCCGGATGGTGTGGTTTTCCGGGGTGTCAGTCATTGGTCTTGCCGCCTTCGATCACGTCCAGCCTGAACTTCTCGACGGTCTTGGCGTGGTTGTGGACGTTGCCGCGGAAGGCCCCTTCCGGGGTGACGGTGATGATCTTCACCCGGCCACGTTTCACCCGATGGATGGCTCCGACTTGCTCAAGCAGCTTGAGGGCATCGGCCATGTGGGGGGGCTTTGTCCGAGTGATCTCGCAGAGGTCAGCTGCGGTCTTGGTGCACTCATAGGACTGCCAGCCGAGGTTCCGGCAGATCGTCCAGAGGATCGACATGGCTTCCTTGGCCTGTGCCGGGGTCTTGGCCGTCTCGAACAGCCGTTCGGTCACGGCGTCCTGATACTGGAAAGCGATGGACACGTTGCCCCCTCCGAAGAAGTCGAACTCGAGTTGCTGTGCGGCGCTCAAATCCTTGGCCAGCTTTGCCGCCTGACGCGCGATGACGGCCCGTTCCGGGCTGCTCTCCTGCAATGCCTGCTGATCGAGAAGCATCGCCGCCTGGTCGTAGGTTCCCCGTTTGCGCAAGGCGCGGTCGGTGAGGCTCACGGGCGGGTTCGGGTTGTGCCGGGTACGGGGCTTGGCTGCGCCGACAATGACGCCGATCGACTGCACCGGGGCGCCGGTCCGCCGCTGCGCTTCCTGGGTGATCTGCGCCGCTTCGATGTCCTCCCGGGAGACGCCCATACGGCGCAGTTCGTGGATGGGGATTCTGCTCATGCCGCACCTCGATAGTTACCTGTGGGGTAACATTAGTTACCTGTGGGGTAACTGTCAATTCTGGAAATTTCCAGCGTGGGTTGGCTAAAACGGCCAAAATGCACCAACGTATCCATGTATCCTAAGAGTCTTAAGGCTCGGTGGTCTCTCAAGAGGCGAAAACATCCCTGTTGGCACAGTCAGAATCTGCTTGTGAAAAGGGGGGTGCGGCGAGGTCTGGAAGCTGCTGAAACCGGGGCTTGTGCGGCCCGAGTGTCGTCCAAAACTTCCGGCGCTGCGCCGCGGAACGTCCGGTCAGCCGTGCCCCTCGTCATCGACCTCGGGTCGATGACGCTCCCTCTCTTCGACGAGCATCGCCTTGGCCCTCACGCCGATGGCGTTCTGATCGCCACCAAGCTCGCGCACCACGCCCTTCCCGGCGAGCAGGATGGCGCGGGCCATGTAACGCGCTGACTCGCTCTTTTGCTTCCACTGTGCAGCTTCTTGGGCCAGCCCGTCAGCCTCATCTTCGAGGGCGTTGATGTGCTGGCGAAGGGCGGTGTTTTCGGCCAGCAGCGTCTGGTTCAGCTCAAGGGCCTCATCTGGGCCATTCCTGGCGCGCTCATAGGCCAGCTCACCGCGCAATTCGCTGATGCGGGCTGCATGGTCCCGTCTTTCGCGGTGCAGGGCCGTCCATGCGCCTCGGAGAGCGTCTGTAGCGGCCTGTGAGGCCCTGCGGCGCCATTCCTCGTCGGTTTCCTTACCCCGGCCCAGAAAGCCGCCTGTGAGGCGCTCGGGAAGCTCTACAGCGTGCTCAGGGTCGTTGAGGTGGGCGTAAGCCCTCTGGACGCGCTCGTGGGTGGCCTTCGACCCCTCGACGCCGCGCTCAAGCCCGTGCGGCTTGCCGACCCGTTCCGCGAAGTCGGTCTGCATGGCCGAGAGCTTGCCCCGGTCCCCGACGAGGGCGCGGGCGTTCAGCCTGCCCCGGTCATCGAGGGGGATGGTCATGACGGTCATGTGGGGGGTGGCCTCGTCGCGGTGGATCACGGCCGACAGGACATTTTCCTTGCCGTGCCGTTCTTCGATCCAGTCCAAAGCCCGGCGGAAGTAGGCGTCCTGGTCCTCGCGGCTCATGGCGTTCAGCGCGCCCGGGCTGCCGCCGATGAAGTATTCCAGCCCGTGGACTGCGTTGGCCCGGATCTTCTCAGGTGCACGGGCACGCCAGGCATCGAGAACCCCGCGGCTGTCCTCGGCTCCGGCAAGAACGGTGTTGTCGCGGATGCGGGCCGGATCTGCGTTCGGGGTCTCACGTTCCCGGAAGGTGTGCTGGAGGCTGGCCCCCATGTTGCCGAGGTTCTTCACCTTGGCGCAGCGCAGGATCGCGAAGCGCCGGCTGCCCCCTCGTTCCTGTCGCCCACCGGACGACCTTCCCAGCCTGAGAGGATCGTCGTCGTCATACATCGAAGAGGTCCAAAATGGTTGAATGTGTACTCACTAGACATTCTAACGAATGTCGTTCGCCCCGCAAGACGGGGAGGGGACACATTCA